AGACAGAAACTGAGAATAGTAGTGAAAATACTGATTTACAATCTTTGGCCGGGAAAATATATAGCCGGTTACACAAGTTTATCGGAAAATATGAATTAGGTGTGGAAACAAAACTTATTGAAATTGATAGAACATCCCGAAATTGGCTGAGTTTTATCTCAAGAGGAAATCTTCTAGGTGCCAATGAAAACATGTTGCAAGCTACTAAAGTATTGGAATCTGAAGTTAATGTTATGCATGGAACGTAATTAGCTGGTGAGAAATATTTATTCAAAAAATTAGCCGACCGCACTAGGAGCAAGCCTATGGGAGCAACATTGGTTTACAGGGTAAAGCTTTACGATACGATCTGCTGTGGCACGCGCATATGTCTGTACGCACGGTAGACGCAGCCAAAAATTGCATACTGGTCAGCCATGTTGCCGAACTTGGCCACTTGGACTGGCTTTGTTGCCACTAAAGTAGAAAATTTCAATGAAAACAAAAAAGTTGAAAACTTAGCAGAATTACGTCCATACGTAGTAGACGAAACTGATAAGCTCATACATATGATTGTGCTCGTAATTTAGCCGGGGCCCAGCTGATTGAAGCCAGCCGTTTGAAATATCAAATTAATTGTGTATGCATGCAAAGAAAATAAAATTATTTTCAGTATTATATATATATATCAGTAAGTCCTGAGTAATATCGACACTTATTAAAAAACGACCTGTATTTTCAACTTTATAATACAATATGCGATTTGTGTTTTTATCAGTAAGTGTTTGAATTTATTTTAACATAAACCATAATGATCTCGATACTAATATGTTATTTATATTTAAAGCATGTTTTAAAGGCATTTGCGTTAACACTTCTTTTTCAACATTATTGTTATGGGTTTTACTGCAGATGTTGTTGGCAATAAAAATATGTATTATTAATAAAAACAGCAATGTTTAAAACGCTCAATACTGGAAAAATCAAACTTAATTATTCTGTCGTCGCAAAAAGATCATAAATTAATCAAATCATCCGCATTTGGCATGCAATACAATTATCAATTGAATCACTTCAATGATGCGCGTCATAGAACAATGCAGCGTGGAAACTTTGTCCTCCTTCAATAGTACCAAACGCTGGAGTCAAGGAGATTTTAAAAATTGTATACTAATTATACATTAACTTAGTTTTTAAATTATTGATTAAAAAATTGTCGCCCCGTACAGACGGGTGGTGAGAAATTGCATTGAGTAGGTGGGCGGCGCGTCGCCCTCTACAGTTTGCCGGTGAGCGTGAACTGGAAATTCGGGTCTACCCAGGAGACCCCTGGGCGGGGCTTGTTGATCAGTGAACAAATTGACGTTCCCTAGTAACCCGTGACAGCGGACTTATGCGAGTGGCGCAGCTCGGAGACGGCGGCCGATCGCACTATTGAAACGTCGTGCGTGTTCTTCATCCAGGGCATCAATGAGTGTAAGGAGCTGGGTGGGTGGGTAGTTGAGCGGTGGTGGGCACCTCCTTTTCTCGTCCAGTAGCGTATAAAATAATTTCGAACACGGTCAGTCACGGATGACCCACGGACCAATCCTAATCTAGATCAGCGAAATTTAGATCTTCTAGAAGTTTGCTTATTAAATGTTCCACATATCCGTGTATTATTTAGAAAGATTTCACTTAAAGCCCTACGTTTTAAACACTTCATCATGTGATTAGATTTATCTAAGCCGGAGTTCTTTTAATAAGCTGTCCAATCTTTCACCACGGTTTTTAAAAGCTTTAGGTGTGCTTAGAAAAATCGAACTTGGTCCCTTTCTGCTCGGTTCCCACAATCCACAACTGAACAAAAGGATGGCATTTTTACTTTTTCCTCCAAAGGACACAGATAACCTTTTCTTTTAAGGATATTTAAACGAATAACTTAATAATAAATTGTTAAAATACTTTAATAATATTAAATGCAATATAAATTTCACACAAATTAAATTAAAACAAAGTTCAAAAACATTCTAGTTAAGATTATTGATTTCAGCTAATCTTCCAAATCACTAATTTCATCATCGGTGAATCTAGTTTCATTCAAGTTTGGCATCATGGTGTACCTGGGTGGCTTTTTCCAGTGCACGCTTGAACTCCTAAGAAAAGCCTTGATTTTAACAAATCACCCTCTTAAATAACCACATACGAGCCCTAACAAATATATATTCGCACGACGCGCAACATTCTAATTGGATAATTATCATGTTTAATTTGATTTTTTTCTTTGCAGTTCAGACATCGGGTCTCATACAGTAAGATATTAGCGCATTACTTTTTCATTACATACAAATAAATATTCGGACGTGTATTTGAGTATAAAAGGTCAATTTCACGGCAGCAAGACAAGACGAAGAGGTCATTCACAGTCATACTCATCCCCCCCAAGAGATCGCGAAGACAAGATCAATACTGTGAAGACACAGTTCGAACAGTACATACGAGAGACACCGTGGTCGATAACGAATCGAGTCAGAGTACAGATCGCAGAAACGCAATCAGAATCCTTGGCAATACACTTATTAGAGTTTGAATCGTACCATCGTGTGCGTTCGGTAAGGCTCCGGAAAGCCTCTTGCAAAAGTGATCACTGAAAGTGAGAAGTGCACGAAGGCCGGAGATGTCCGAGCCACCCAAGCCTCAGGTAAGTGCCTCTGCACTTAATCGTACCCTAAAATCCCCAAAAGCCGATATTGACTACCACATGAAAGCCTCCCCAAACTTCCCCGCGCCCTGAACTTCCCCCGCAAGGAAAACCGAGTTCTGAAGAAAACCCTCTCCAACGTCAAAACCCAAAATAAAAAGCTCAGCGACAAGCTGGACGAAATCTTCAACCACTTCAAAATCCATATGTCCCAATGTCACCAAGAAAGCTCAAAATTCCCCAATCTGCCCCTCAAAAACATTCCAAATCCAATCCTGAACCAGCAACCGAACATATGAAAATTGATTCCAATTTCCCTCCTTTGAAACCAACTTTTTCCCCTCTAAAACCAATCGCAACGCCTTGGAACCTTTCCAATACGACCAACAAAGCGCTCCACAATCACCTAAGGGCTGAAGAGTCCAAAACCCAAACCTCAACTCCCAACACCAAAGAACATAACTCAGGAATCTCCTTTTCTCAAAATTCCTCCAAATAATCACAATCCTGAAAGCCAACAACTACTTACCAAACACCCTGCATTAAAATTTAAATAACACAATAAACGAACATATAGTTGTTAGGGCTCGTACATTCTTGGCAACAAACTGAGACAGAAAAATCGCATTTGTAGGCTTTTCAAGTCTCGAAGCGTAACACAAGTTTGCTAAATACTGAAATCAACATTTTTCGTCTCCAACGCTCATCCTAATCCAGATTAATTCCCTTAATATAACTTAAAAAAAACATTCAGCAATCGAGTCGCCCTTCAAAGCGTGAAAAATGTGTATAATGACATACCTTTTAAGTCGTTTGGGATCAATAGATTGGAAGATTTCTGTCAAATCAGGTGTTTGAGCGTGAAGAAAAAACAATGTGTTTTTAATTTTTTCGCCAGCAGCCATCATGGTCAGCTGCATTATTTTTGCTTTGTGTTCTAAAAAAAGATTTTGTTAAGAAAATGAATCAGTGTGAAACACAAACGAGAATACCTTCGCACCAAGAGGGAGGCTTAGCTTTATGGAAACGACCATCATCCGAATCATAGCATGCCTCAGTTGGCAACGGCGGCGCATTTGTGATCATGTAAATGGGTTTGTCCCCGTTTTGCTGTCGATTAGTTTGCACTTCTTCCATTTTTTTCTTTTCCAACAACTGCTTGTATTCCATCTCTTCTTTCAGCTTTTGTCTTTTCTCCTCTCGTTCCTGTTCACGTTGCTTCATTCTGTCTTCCTTTTGCTTCTGAATCTAAGCGAGGGTGCACTTCAAGTATCTAATAATCTATTGATTAACTCTCTCACCTCTAATTGCTTCTGCTTCTCAGCTTCTCGATGCTGCTGGGCCTTTATTTGCCGCTCTTCGTTCAGTCTCCGTTTGGTTTCAGATTGCTGAAGCAACAAAGCCTGCTTTTTTTTATATGCCAGCTCACGCTCTTGTTTTTTCAACATTCGCTCGCGAGAATCCTTCTGTGCGCTCTGATAAAGTGAAAAAAACGTTTTGAGGGCTACTACCAGAATCACAGCTGCTCCTTTCGCAGACTTCGTGACTAATTTTACTTACTAGGGAGGTGGTAGTGCTAATATTCTGCTTATTTATGCTCGAAATAAGTTTCGGAACTGCCCCGGTACTGCAAGCAGTGGGCATGAATTTCGTTCTTAAAGGTGTTGCTAATAACTAAAGAGACAATATATGGATTTGTTAAGGCTTTTCATTAAATCGAACTCACTTTAGATTTTACTCCAGATTGCGGCTTAATGTCGTTAGCATGTACAGGAACTTCATTGCAAGACGCCAATTTCTCAAATGCTTCTACCTTCTTCTTGGTAGAACATTTATCAAAAGGACTAAACACTTCCTTGCCAGGCTTCCTATTCTTAGAGGGCGGCGTTGCCTGTAGAAAACCATAATTATTTCTATGTACAGGGAGGTATGCCTGGAAATCTCCAGTGGATGCAACTGGACATGTTAGAAATCAAATAAATTTCATTTTTAATAACAAGATATTTTGAAATACAATAACATCGCTTAAAACATGTCCAGGAGCAGACGTTAAGTCATATCACAATCATCTAATTGCTACTATGAACTTAAAACTAAAAAAGATCAATCCTACAAAACAACCCACATATGAGTTAAGACAACTAAAGGGCGAACACATAAAACACCAATCCCAAGAATACAAATACAGCAAAATTCCAACAGATACGCAGGAAGAGGGTGAAAAGAAAGCAATGGATGACAGTGGAAATACTAGGCATGATGAAGGAGAGAAGAGAAGTAAAGGAAAAAGACAGGATGAAGTACAGACAAATGCATACGGCTATAAAAAATGAAATCAGACATGCAAAGGATCGATGGTTCAGGGAACAATGCGAGGAGATTGAAGAGCTGGACAGCAGTTTCAATTGGGTGTCAAAGTGGGTCAAGCAGATGGCTGGACTATATAAGAACAAACAAGGGGTATGCCTGAGGGGTCGAGGACTCCTTTAGAGAAGGGCGCGGTGCGACGAGGCTGAACGTGCGATACAACGACGTACTTGCTATTACAGACGATCAGGTCAGAAATGCCATCAAGAAGACTAAAGATGGAAAGGCTACGTGACCGGATTACTTTCACTTTGAATTCTTAAAACTAATAAAGGACAATGGATTACATCAATATTTAATAAAATTTACAACAGCGGAGAAATCTCACGAGACTGGCTCAAGTCGACCTTCATAACAATACCCAAAAAACGTAATCCGAAGAAATGTGACAAACATTGAATTGTTAGCCTCATGAGCCATCTATTGAAAACATTCCGAGCAGTAATACATCAAAGGATTTACAACAAGGTGGAAGCTCAGATAACCCGTACTACCCAATTCGGATTCCGTGACGCACATGGTACAAGAGAAGCGTTATTCGCAGTGCAGGCACTGTTCCAGCCATGTCGTGATGTCAGTTGTGACTACATCAAGGCCTTCGACAATGTCAAACACGATACATTAATGTCAATACTGCAATTCATTGGCTTAGATAAAAACATCCGAATAATACACCACCTCTATTACAACCAAACAGCCAATATCAGAGTAGGAAAAGAGCTGACGGAAGAAGTGAATATACAACGAGGAGTAAGACAAGGCTGCACAATGTCCATCCTCCCTATTTTTTAATCTCTACTCGGAGGAAGTAATGAAAGGGACTCTAGGGGACAGTGAAATTGGAATTCTTGTAAATGGTGAACGACTGAACAACATTAGATATGCGGATGGCACAATCATATTCGCAGACAGTTTGGAAGGCTTACAGACACTGAATGCGCACACAGCAGAATGCAGCAAGCAATATGGCCTTGACTTCAACATAAACAATACAAAATACATGATAATTAGTAAAACTCACATCCCCTTCAGCCAACTCATAGTAAATCAACAACAAATAGAAAAGGTAAATACCTGGGCACAAATATAAACTATCAATGGGACGATTCTATGGAAATAAATATCCGCCTTGAGCAGGCCACAGCACCCTTCATAAAAATTAAGAGTTTTCACAAATCGGGATATACCAATAACAACGAAAATACGTCTACTACGCTGCTATGTGTTTTCAATCTTATTATATGGACGTTGACTAAACCATCGATAATAAAACTTGAAGCGTTCGAAATGTGGTGTTACAGAAGAATGTTATGTATATCATGGACGGACCGGATTACCGACGTCGATGTATTACGAAGGCTTAACTATGAAAAGTCTGAGATCGACGATAAAATCAAACAAAGCAATCTGGAATACTTGGGTCATATAACTTGAAACGACGTTCGGTATGGGCTGCAGCAGCTCATTCTTCAGGGCAAAATATATGGCCATAGAGAACCAGGACGCAGCCAGCATCCGAACCGGATAGACACTACGAGAAGAAGACAGGGTGATTCAAAATTGCAGTCATTCTCTTAAGGCAGTCTTGTAATAAAAACAGTAAATTTAGAAACTAAGAATCGTTCTCAACTATTTTTTTAAATATTTTTTCTATCCTCCTAAAACACCGCCAGACAACACCTCCAAAGGAATGACGCCAATTTTGAATAACCCTGTATAATAGCCCAAGTATAGTACAAGAAATCAAGTCAAACAGATTAAAATGACTGGGACATATCCAGAGGAGTAATTACTCAAGGCTAATTAAAATGATCTGGGAAGAAACCCCAACAAAAGACCCTTTGGCCGCTCAAAGTTTAGATGGCGGGATAATATCCGCAAGGACCTTCAAGCCCTGGGAATGCTCAACTAGGAAGAAGCCACTCACGATCGGAAAGAATAGAGGAGATTGTTGAGGCGGCCAAGACCCACCCCGGGTTGTAGAGCGATGGATTGGATTGGACTAGAAAACACTTCCAGCGAAATGGCCCTAATTTTAAACAACCCTTTACCTCGTGCAGTATCAAGTACTTACAGCACTGGCCGCTGGGACTTTCTGTTTGGAAGCCGCTGATGCTGTTGCAGGCACCAAAAAGGTTGAGTTAAGAGGAACCGAAACCTCAGCGGCCGCACCTAACATGGGGTTTTTGGTCACATAAGTAGTTTCTAAGATGGGCTCCGGCGGTTCTAAGAAAGAAAAATTGTTTAGAACTATGCATATTTTTCATGCTTTAAAATTACCTTGATTGGAACAAGCGTCTTCATAGAGAGTATCACTTTCCTCATTTTTATGTGAACTACCTGAAGATCTAATTTTTTTGCCATCGGCGTTTATGGGGTGCGTGGTCGGTGAGCGACTTCTTTTTAAAGTTTCTGCCTCACAATGATTGATCTCAATTACATCGCTTGAATCCCCGATGTTAGCTAAAAAAAGGTAATTTAAAACTGGTGGTACTAAATAATTCCTCAGAATAAGACTTTTACTTGGAGTCGCCGCAACTCTGCTGGTTTCGGCCGTTCGGGAGGCTTTTGCCTTTTTATTTCTAGTGAACCTGATTTCGCAGTCGCTCGCAACTTCAACTGCTGAACAATTATTCGCCTGTCTCACCTTAGATCTACAAATAAAACAATTCACTTAAACTAGGTTCTCACCCACGCAATTCGTTGCTGCCACTCTCGAGTGCTAGTTCACACTAGTGCAATTTTCTTTGACAAATTAGAGGAATTTAATTGCAACTTTATTAGCATTAAATTTGTTGTGCCGTGGCATTATCGCGCTTAGCAGACTAAGGCACGTATTTATAAACGATACTCAAGCCGATACTCAGCTCATGCTTGGCCAAGTACGAGATCGTTCTCACCCGAGAGAGACGATTTATAAACAGTACTTCGGGAATTCTCGGCGAAGTATCGGTCGAGTATAGATTTATAGAGACTTTCCTATTT